CACCAAACCAATACAATAACTCTACCAGTACATGTGTATGATAATGAGCAGTGATGTGCCGTACGACTACCGTATGATGCACATGATCTATGCAAAAAACGGAACTCATCCTGTTTTTAAAACAATCTTTGTGAAGTCTTGGCACGTCGAGAATGTACGTTAATCATTCACGCACAAGCACAGACAGTAGCGTGTGTGACTCATCTCCAGGACACACATGTAAAAAAAAAAAGAAACGGCGACTGGTGGTCACTTGCAAAAAGGTCGCACTTGTAAATCTCTGGCTGCAATAATATGTGTCGGGATGTGTTTACACGATCTGGGGTCGTGTTTGTACCGGCAGATTACAAAGAATGCGATCTGTTATCTGCCATTTCTTCACAAGAATTACAGCCATAACATCAATATAAGTGTTGTATACAGTTCCAGTACACATTGTGTAAACTGTGTACATGTTCTGACACTCTGGTGCATGTACGTACAGTACATGTATGCATGCGTACATGTACATACAGCCATAGTTATGATTTCCCATTTAAAAAAATGCTGTCCATCTGAGGAATTCCATTTCAAGCGGCTAAGGAAAATTTTGCTACAGTACATGTACGTGTACATGTATATGCCACACATGTACATAATGTAGACTATTATTCAAAATTAAACACTAGCAAAAAAGCCATACATACAGATAAATGAAGCTTTTGCATTGTCAGAACCCGGGAACCTTCCTACCGAATCCAACAGAATCAGGATGGTGACTTCTAGGAGTTTCCTGCTCAATCCATCAGAAAGCAACGGTCTGAGTTGATGGTGACTGTAACCTGTCATTTCATTTGCCTGCTCGTACCAACACAATCCAACTGTGCCGTATTTCTTCAGTTGAAATCCAACAGAATGTAACACAAGCCAGCTGGGCACAGTTACATGTACATGTACATACACTCTGCTGCCCAAAATCCGACGGATTTCAACTCCAACAAGGCCAGGGAATTGTGATCAAGTTCTTACATGTAAGTACCGGGTACTTTACAGAACACGAACACTTGGACTGGATTCGCTTCAACTGCAACAACAGTAATTTTAAGTTTCTCTTCATCCTTTGGTTTTGTAAAAATAGTGGAGCACTGTTATAACAAGGCCCTTGGGACTTTACAAATTACCTTGTTATAATAGTTACCTTGTATTATCAGTAATGGAAAACCAAGAAAAACACAGACTTGGGACCTTAAATTCTCCTTGTTATAATTATGACTTTGCATTAAAAATGCTCTTCTTATAGATGCTCAACTGTACATACAGGTGTACTGTATTATAACATTGTTCAACAGTCTTGAATTTGGAGATTTTTAATCATTTTCTACAAAATGCCTGGGAAGAAGCTAGTGAAAGCAGTTTCAGAAATCTTTGAGTAACAAGACACTAACATGAGGCCACTGTGAAGTGTATACATTCTTATTTAACCTTAACCATGCTGAACCCAACAATATCCAACAGCGGTCACTTTCTGTGGGACTTTGATGTGAGCAGTCAACAAAAGGCCTTTTGTTCTACCGGGTGGCTATTGGATTTTGTTGGATTCAGCAGGCTTTACACTTTGCTGTTTCATTTTGTTGGGCTCAGCAGGGTGCCTGGAGAAAGCCCCAGGAGGTTGGAGGTGGGGGGGTCAGAGTCAGCATGCAGTCCTTCCTATCTTGCAGACTGAATCAGTGCCTAGCTTTCACCTGAGGTTGGGCTGAATTTTTATCTGATATCCGAGACTGTGGATGTCCCAATCTCATTTCAGAACATGTGTACCGAAGTACCATACCGACACTTCCACTTTCAGTCTCCCTCCCACGTAACATTCCTTCTTTTTTGTGTCCATGGACACACAGTCAGAAACTTGTTACTCATGTAGACATGCTCCTGGAACAGGTCACTTGATCATACCATTCAATGCTACATGTGTATATATGTATGTGCCGGTATCATTCTGTATACTGGTACATGCACGCAGGTATGACAGAAGATAGATTAAAGGCCATTCTAATATGTCCAGTTTATTCTTGATACTGTACATTTGCTGTGCACATGTACCAGTACGTGTATGTAAATGACATGTGACTAACGATCAACCAATCAGATACCAGGGATTTATAATATCCACAACATGAGCATGTATGTACACGTACATGTACAGTACAGGTATGTGTTGCCGGCATGTGGAATAATCTACATGTACATGTACCGGTACATGTGGACATTATTAGTAAGTCTGGAATGTTATCCAGCAAATGAATCACTTAAAAAAAAACCATCTGAATTTCAACAGAATCCAAACCAGCATAGTGTGAGGCCTGCTGAACAAGTTCCAACGACAACCTAAGTTGTTTCTCATTCGTGCCTGATTCTTGCCGAGCGGTGGGTATCACTGGACGGTTTAGAAGCATAGGGAAACGACCGATTTCGCTTCGCTCCATTTGACTAAGCCCTCTGGCCTCTGCTCAACGTACACACTGAAGTTTGTTTGTCATTTCACAGTGTAACAGTGAAGCAAATAATTTGAAAGAGTTTCAACAGAGTACAAGTGAGTGTCACTAAAAATGCACGGCCATTACACGGGGCTGAACACAATCGAGTCAGAGAACGCTTGCTTTTAAATTGTTAGTTTGGGGAGGGTTTTTTGTGTAGTTTTTGTTTGCTCTTTGTTTAGTTTTTTTTCCTTCTTTTCCCTTTTTGGAACCAGTTCTTCACTTTGCTCAACTCCAAGCAGAGGGAGGACAATTCTTTCCCACAGACAGTTGCAGCCGTTTCTGACCTCAGCCCCACTGGTGGTCAAGTATGCCACGTTTGCTGAGAGCTCACGTCTTAGCGTGCATTCTGTGGCAGGATTGCTGGGTTGTCGTTTGGGTCGCACATGCTCAAGGTTAACCTCTCCCCATGGCTCCTCCGTTTTTTTTCTCTCCTCTGTCTCTCCTCGTTTTTTTTAACCACATTTTAAACAAGATATGTGCCAATTTTCTGTTTCGTGAATTGCGTTCAAATAAGGTCATCCAATTTTGGTTTCCCGATTAGAGAAGGGAGGCAGGGCTTGGTTGAGCAGTAACAAAGCAATTGATTCTAATTCAGTGTGGCAAACACTCAAAGAATGCGTGGTTATCTAGGTTCCTGCATATACATGTAAGGCTGGTGGCTGCCTGATTAACACAGGTCGTTTCATTTAATTTATCCAAACAAAAAATTTTTCTTCCAAGCACACTTGCACAGTAAAAGCATGTACACATAGGGTACCAGTACAAATCTTATTCTTTTATGACCAGCGTGGCTTAACATTTTCAGCTCAGAATTTTCTTTTCAAAACAAAACCTCATAAATTGCACATTTTGCCGGGGATGACAGACCGTACTGATGAAGTTTATGTTTTGAACCTCAACTCTGCCTGGAGCATTCGTTTTACTTCAAAAGATGACATTTTGGGGAGAGAATTCAGCCGATGCTGAACTGGTGACAAAAAGTATGTGTACATGTAAATTGCTCCTGCCAATATCTAAGAAAGGCACAAATTGTGTAAAGTTAGTCACAGAAACAGGAAAGGGTACTGTTTCTAACCATACGGATTAGGGCACTTTTCAAGTTGCTCAGTTGTCAAGTCGTAACTTCTGCTTCCTGTTTTTGAACGAACACTATTTTGACGGAGCAGCAGCCCACAAGTTTTATAGGGGAAAATATGGGGGACAGACAAAAACTGACTAAATACATGTATAAGGTTCTACAGACTTACATGTAAATGCATGCAATTTGAACCCTTAAAAGTGGTGTCAATCTCATATAAATTGAATGCCACGCGATCTCTCAATTGACCCTAACCGCCAAGCACATTGTTTGGCTTACAGCTACTCAGTACTACAAAATACTAAGTAGTTGCCTGAGCCTGAAGGACCTAGCGCTACAAATTACTACTTCTGGCTAGGGTACTTCCATTGTTACTCATACAGAGAACAATAAAGCCATGCATTCATAGTGCCACAGCACTGTATGGTACATTGTGTTTTCTATAGTATTTTATGGCTTCAGAGAACAATATCGTCATGTCCTCTTACAAGCGGCAGCACTGATTTCTACATTTTACTACAAGTAATAATTTGTAGTATTATGTAAGGTTAGGGTTAATTAATTTAATTTTGTTTGTTTAACCATTTAACACTCACTTACACACTGAATCACTATAATGTTAAAAATTGGCTCCCTCCAAAAGAAAAATGTTCCAACCCACATGGCGGTACCCTGTTTTTAGATGCTATGTGATAGCAAATACAGTAAATACATGTAGCAAGCAGAACTGTTCGGCTTCGCCATCCCTACCATAACCCATGCAATACACTTTTTCCACAAAATTTAGGAGAAATTGCAGAATACCCCACCACTCTAAAAAAACGACCCCTGGAATGACTGGTTACATGGGTACATGTACAAGGTGAAAATCCCTTGAGAAGAGTGTGACACTTTGACCTGTACCTGGCTATGAGGTTGATCTTGCAGGGTGGCGGGGTGTTCTGCAATTGAGCTCAAATGGATGACGGCAATAAAAAAAGTTCACTGGGGAAACCAGCAAAATTGGATGTGGCTAAGATCTCCTACATACAACTTTGACACACACTTGGCAGAGAGAGAGTGCAGAGCTGCGCGTTGATGACAGAAGCTCATGACATCGAAATTCAACCCTAGAACATACATGCCTATAAACTGTACTCTGTATAAAATTTATCCAATGGTCCAAAAATACCAATCACTCATTTGTTGGAAATGACCAGATTGGCTGAAATAGGCTTGAAAGAACATTCATGTACTAAAAGGGGGGAGGGGGGGTGAATTCCACATTGGGCCATAACAGTCTTGGAGAGTAGAACACCAACAGGTTTAGCAAGGAAAGACGGGTTACATACATACATGTGTAAACTACCTTAGAGGAACTTGAAATCTGTTACTGTCTGATGTGGAATTCTTTCCTACTAGCAACTTACCCGCGCTGGAATGTTGTCTATTAGCATTTCCTCTAGGCTTTGTGGTCGTAGTTAGGGCAGCGATGACATCATCCGACGACGAGGCTCGTCTCAGCTTTCCAGATGACTGCTTTTTATCCATCATCTGAGCATCTTTTCTAATGTCATCCACCTCCTTACTAAATCCCTTGTGGTCAGTCTCTATGAAGGCCGAATACGGTCGCTGCTTCTTGCGACTGGAATAGACGGGGACACTGCTACGGAGGCCGTGCACGTTGGTGAAGGAGTCCACTTCCGTGTCGGGGATCTCCCGCAGGTCATCGTAGTCCTCGTCATCCACAAAGACCATGTTGTCGCTGTCCTCCTCAGCCGGGAGGGTGCTGGGGTCGAAGGAGGCAGCCCGGTGGAACGTCTCGGGCTTGGGGGTCTCCGACTCGTGCTGGGCATCACTGGCGCTGAGGTGCCGCAGCTTGAAGTCTCGGACGGGGACTTGGAGGGGCGGGGCCGGGGCACGGCCGCCCCCGATTGCACTGCTGTTGCTGCTGCTGCTGGTCGTGCTGCTCCCGGCCATGTCCGGCTCCAGAGCGGATTGCACTTGCTGTTCCGATTCCTCATGCAAGTCCAAATCGTGGTAGTGTGCAGCACGGGGCCCCTTCAAGTCCAACAGTCTGTGCTGATTGGAACCCTTACAGCGAAGACTGTTCTCCTTATCCTCAAACTGGACGGCCAGGCCCGACTGGCTGCCGTCGGTAAATGATCCCGGGCTGCGGTCCGACATCGAGCCCAGGGAGCTATTTGTACCGACTGAAATGGACCTCTGCTTTGAGCCTAAGCCTAACGCTGCTGGCGAAAAACGTCCAGGGCTGATGTTGTCAGATGTGAACGACCCCCAGCTGGAGCGAAACACCCCCTTCCCAATCTGGCGCGATTTCAGAGTTATAAGTAACCGTATAGGGATCTGCAAGATCATATAGACTTCGTCAAGGGTTTTCCTGGAGACATCCACATTATTTACATACAGAATTTCATCGCCTATCTGTATAAGTCCAGATTCTTCCACTAATCCGCCTAGCATTAGACGTGACACATGAATACCATCCCTTCTGTCCAACCCATCCCCCTCACGAATGAAGAACCCTAATGTTCGACCGGGAATCTTAGTGATTTCAACTGTGCGCAACAGGTACGCTCCTCCCAGGATTTCCCTTTCCTGGGCAACGCTTATCCGTAGCTTCCCATTATTCGGCCGATTGAACACTGCAAACGTTGCATCCGTGTCTTCAAAAGCCTGCGCCCGCGACAGGTCTGTGAAGAGTTCCCGCTCGGCGGCCTGGATGGTGGACACCATCTCGTTGGTGATGCCGCTGACGTGCCGAAAGCCGGCCGGGGTGTCGATCTGCATGGCCCCACCACCGGTACCGCCTCCACCATCATGGCCCCCGGTGGTGGGCAATGAGGATGGCTGGTCGCGCTCCCCGGCCCAGTAATCAGCAGATTGGCTCCGCGACGACAGTTTCTTAGTCCCTCTTTCCACATTCTGGCAGTCCGATAGGGTCCTGGATCGTCTTGAACCCCTATCAGTCATTTTGGCCTTCAGAACGAATCCGTTTCGAGGATAATAACAGCATTTTGGGGGAAAACGAAAGAGCGGCTAACGCCTTTCGTTAAAACACAAGGGTCCATAGCTTGCAAGTTGTATGCACATAATAAATGGCCTCTGCTGGTATCCGACTAATTATGAACGATTTCAAGTGACAGTTTCATTTGGTTCTGGGAACCAGCCAAAAATAACCTCACATTATTCGACTGGCTCAAGTCTTCTCAATGAAAATGATTTTAATAGACTTTATTCAAGTCTATCGACTTACTCCCTTGGTTTTGCATTTCTTGTCTGGCGCCCTCTAAACGAAGTTCGACGTTTCTGAGGGCGCACTCTCGTCGCGCGCGAAGCGCTAGTTTGGTCTAAACGCACTCGGATCGTAGGCACTGACCTCATAAGGACACAGAAAGCAAACATATGCCTGTTTATCAATTAAGACAAGATAACGCAATTACCTCACACTTGGGGTCATCAGACCTGTCCAAGGCCCAGCCTGTTTTCAAGGCCAGTCAACTGGCAGTTGGCCATTACTTTTGGGTATAGGTTTGGGGCAATCTACGCAACTGAGGATTTCTGGCTCACTCATTAACTTCAAAAATGCACCTACAGTATTTTTTGAAAACATGAGATTGTTCTGCCCCAGAAATGGTAAGATTGTGTAACTCTTTACAAGGATCAAATAGCTGTACTGAAAAAAATGCTGCAAGTTGTAGAAATGTTTCCCTGTTGTTTTGTTTTTTGGGTGTTTTCATTCGTCATCCATCACTAGTGGGTCTTTCCTCACTGGTTTCATGATTAAAAGAAGCCTAGGTTTGAGCGCAGGAACCTAGCCTGCCTCACAGGACCTAGTGCTGGAAGGGCACAGTTATGACGGAGACGAACCATAGCTGCAGCTCTTTGGGAAGTATAATGAAAGCTATTTTACAAAATCAATTACAAGACCCAAGATGCATGAGGAACTATATACAATAGACTTGAAATTCTCTGATTATTATTTAAGTGAGAGTTACTCACCACCCAGAAAAATGGTGGAGGTATGGCAAGTCAGTGACTGATGGGTCAGCTGTTTTCATTGTGTTTGGTGGGAGAGCAAAGAGAAATAGAGAGAGAAAAATTTTTCTTTCCTCCGTGATGAGAAACATATCAACTGTTCCACTGAGCTTGATACAGGTGTACCTCCTTTCGATTTAGCAGATTTCAGTTTTACAGTTTTGAGTTTGCAGTTCCTAATTATGCCTCAAAAAGCCTTTCAACCAGATATCTAGAAAATTCAGCCTTTGAGTTGATGAGTTGAAAATGCAGACTACTTCAGACTTTGAATAAAGCTCTGAAAATCCAAACTTACTCAGACAACTGTCGGGGAATTTACGGGCTCCTTGTTTGTGATTTTATCCAAAAGGGAATTTGTTACTGGTCCTTATTTTGGTCTTTACATTTACCCTTTATCTTCCTCCTTGATCTTTTCAATTTTAAAAGTGTGTATGTTGTTAAAAGCTCAGAACTTTTGCCTCGTCAAGGAATGTCCTAAAATATCAAATGAACAAACTTCAGTTTTTGGTCACCCAATAATGGTCCCCTCATAACATTGGTTTTGGAGTTTAAAGAATTGATTCACAATGACTCTCATTAGCTCCATGCTCTGAGCAGCAGTGTTGGTCAAGTGTAACTAAATAGAGGGCGCACTGTAGTAGCAGCGGTTGACAGTGGGCCTAAATAGGCTAGGCAAGCACTAAGTGTTAAGTTCTCATACCAAGCCACGGACGATAAATCCACTTGGTGTCCCGCAAAACTTCATAAACAGAACAACTGTTATCAAAGCTCTTCAGGTGGACACCCTGACCGTACTATGAAAACTGGTGTCCAACCTAGGCTGGTGAAAACAGATCCCGTGAGAGCCGTGAAGAAATGCCCGTTTTAAGCTTCGTACGCCACTGTAAACGCAGCTTGGAAGTAAAAAAAAATAAAGAAAAAAGAAGAAAAACGACCCCCCGTCAAAATCTCGCCCATCTTGAAATGTGCTAAAATTCTGCCGATCTGCAGCGCTACTAAATTATTTGCCGTCAAGTTCTCCATCCACGAAATTCACTCGACCGAAAACCTTGTACAACGTAGACGTAGGCGAGACGCGCGACGAGAAAGTCACCTTCAAGTGCGCCCTCAAGCGCAAATATCGTTTCCGGCAGGGTCACATGAAATTCCGACTTCCACCTTCCAACTTTAAGCCGCATTTCGTTAAAATGTTAAGTAACAATAGGGCATAGGCCTAATAGGAGAGGAACATTAAAAAACACAAAAGGAGGCACTAATCGCCGGTAGGATGCTTACAGGGAAAACTTGTGAGCCAAATAAAAAACAATACCAAAAATGGCAATGTTTCCAATGGCTACCTTTTATTGAAATATTCCAGATTTCTGGGATAGAAATATCCACGATGCAATAGACGGTCGCTGTTATCAGCTACTATGCAAAGACCCAACAACATCACTTGGTACAATAAATAATCTGCAATTCTGAAGACGAAAGAAGCATTCATACCGACCAGCGAAAGTGGACGACAGATGGGGGCTTGCTTCAGGGGACTTGATTTTTGCAATTCCAAGGAGTCTGTGGCATCGACTAGATCTGAATTACAGAAATTCATACCTGTTGCCCTGCATCCATTGTTTACTGTTCCTGCTTTCATAAACCTCTTGAAAATAACTCTTGGCTAACAGGTAACGAGATGTGAAAACAACATCGATCAAAATGAGTCATAAGGCCAGTTTTCCTATTGTTCTGTTGGAGCTTGAATCGCAAAAGGCAAGCTAGGCGCTTTGTTTTGATTTTTCACTGAGTTTGACACCTTGATGGCAATGGGCATTGTGTGGGTAAAAAGGTTATAACTCTCTATGATTTTGCTTGTCGGAGAGTCTTTTAAAAGGCCTGTGCTTCAAAAGTGGCTCTTGCGACTTATGACTCATTTCAATAGGTTGTATCATGAAACTTAGTGGCGCCAGCATCATCACAAAAAGTATAAAAACATCAAATTACATTTGTAGTATGCCTTAAGTACTGCATTTTAGAAATTTATGACTGCACTAGACTCAAGAACCCAAGGATGTGAAGTTTTTATCTGAGAGTGTCAGCGTGAGGGTGGCTCAGTTCATCTCAAGTTCCTCGTCATTTTTGCTATTTTACGGAACTGTCGTGTATCCTCTGAGAAACATCAACCGCTGTGCAGGATCCTGATGGAAAGTTCTTCGCCTGTGAAGTTCCACAGGGCACCAAGTCCTTCCTCCCTTTTGCAAAAACACTCCACGACCTTCTGGCAGATTTCCAAGGGCCAGGAGGGAGGGGCGGCGGGCAGGGGGGTTTGAATGTCTTCCCTCGTTACGCTGATGGGGGAGGGAGGGTGGTTTGGCAGTGCCTTTCATCTGTGGCCGTAGGGATGTGAGCTGGAACCAGCTTTGATGTTTGTCTTGATAGCGCTGGGCGCTTTGCCCATGGGTACTGCGGTAAAAATTCATGGAGACGTTGAAAGGCAGACAGGAGAAAAACAACAAATCTAAGTTGTCACTATAAAGTGCTCTGTGCTCACAATTTTGGATCGGTAATGCCCCTTTACTATGGGTGTCAGGTTGATGTGGTGGTTCTTCCCTCGCCTTCCACCTCTACGGTCCGGGTTTGAATCCCGGCTCAGTCCACACGTGGATTGGGTTTTCAGTGCCAACCTGCTTTCGTGGGTTTTACCCAGAATGCTCCACTGGGTTTTCCTCCCACCTCTAAAACTGTAATTGCTTCTCGTTGTCTCCTCTCTACAGGTTTCTCCAGGCTGGTGAGATACAGTGCCTGGGGTGCTTTTGAGGAATCATCCAAGTCATCAACAGGAATAATTTCTAGTAACAGTTTACGGCGACTGTGGGACACACTGAAGCACTAGAGCAAGCACAATGACAAAGGATTGCCTTTGTCACAATTCCACTGAAAAAGATGTGAGTTGAAGTGAGACGCAATGATGTGATTGTATCAAATTGCTTTACGATAGTTGACTCCGGGAACAATGCAAAATGAAACACGGGGTAACTTGAGGTTTTAAATCGAGATATCCCACAAAACCCTGGTAATCCTAGTAACACCTTGAGGTAAACATCGAGTGACCTGTTTAATTGTGCACTCGTGACTTACGATTTTTGTTCCCAAGTAGGGTATCCAATCATTGATAAGCAACAATAACAGTGCCTGAAAGACAACGGTGCACGTCACTGACTAGCAATGTGATGGCTAGATTTTCTGCCGACTAGGGTTTAGTTTTCGACTCACCGTGCTGCTCGGGTCTTTGTTGTTGCGAGAGGGGCGGACCCCCGGGAGGCCCCGGGACGTTGTGCTGGCCCTGGACTGGCGGGCGGATGGGTTTCAGGTTCCGCCCTATAGTCACCGCGCTGACGAGGGTGGTCGTATCCGAGTGGTTGGAGTTGCCCAGGTTGCCGAGCCTCATCGCTGAAATAAAGATGAAGAGAAATCCCAAATGTATAAAATGCGGAAGATTTAAGTGCCTGAAGGGTGCAAGATAAAGACAAATGTGTGGAAGAATGCTGTTGGAAATATCGTAGGCTGGACCAAATTGTTATGCCTGAAGCATTCTATCAGGGATGTAATTTATACGGTGGAAAAGCTAGCGACGAGCTTAGAGTCAGTTGGATGATCACTATTAGGTATTCGAAAAGTGAGAAAAATAGTCTTGGGCAACAAGAGAGCATCCATCTCTTTCAGTACTCTCCCTGAGCCTTCACAATCTTGTCAAACCTCATTAATAAGAGGTCAGTTGGACTTTGTGGATTACCTCGTTATAAGAGGCACCTTGTATTATCCGGAATGAAAAAAATGAAGAATAAAGGATAGGGACATGAAAACTTTAATGCTATAGCACAACGTTGTAAGAACACTGCTCTTACTAACGAGGCTTTCTCAAAATGCCCAAAAAGACAATCGGCTACCAAGGTTTATCTAGTGTACCCCCTTTGGAGGGGGAGGGGTCGAGGACAGCGAGTTTGTTTTGTATGCTCGTGAAAATGATGCAATAAGTGACCTTAACTTTTTCGGTCGGACGTTAAGGCTAACAACGCTGTTGGGCACAGAAATGCTGTTAATTACCTCCATCCCCATCCCAATCGTCCTTGGCACTGCTGACCATGTCCAGCAAGCGAGTGACCAGCTTGTTCATACTGTTTATCTGCTTCTGCTGTGAGACAAAATGATTCAAATACCAGCTCACAGAATCCGTCAGGAAGAACAAGACTGTGCCAACCATCTGGTCGCCTGTTAAGAACCGTCCTATTAAAGTTAAAGCAGTCGCTTTTTGTATTTCGTTCATGGCGAGCTTGGCTTTATCCCTTGTGCTTAGAGACACTGTGCACTCTGGCCTGCTGTGCAGATTGGGCAGTGTATTGTTAAGATGTACTGGTGGGATTTGGAGTTGAGTTATTCAAGCGTGGCCTTTCTTTCACAGGGAAATGTAGGATTTGTAACAAATGATCCGGGGGGCAGACCTGCCAACCTTTAGAATCGCAAAAAGTGCATTTGGAAGTTCCAAAATGTGCGTTTTTCAATAAAAATGTGTATTTTCCCCAACAAACAGGACAGGCAAGCTTACAAGTACCTTTGCGTGACTAAATACTATTTGAACTTTAATATGTGTGGTTCATGCAATTAGCGGTAGTTTTTGTCCTACGACAAGCAAACTGGGATGCAATGTTGCTGTCCGGAAACATCTTCTTTTCTACGTCCGTGAAATCATCCGACGCCGCGATTGGCAGATTGTGCCGAACTACGTAATCTGTCCAAAGGGTCTCGGCTCTGATGGTGCTTAAATCTTCAGAAGACGTGAACTTTCTGATGCTGTGGGTGGCATCCTTCGTTTCAGCGATGACGTGATGTTTACTGCTTTTGATGTGGCGAGATACATCATAACTACTCCCACTATGCGCGATACTGAAGTCAGAACTACACCAAGTGCAGCGAGCGTAATGTTCAACTCTCTGGGAAGGTAATACGAATTCAAATTTCTCTGTATATTCCCTTTTAAAAGATCGCTTCCAATTTTGGGTGTCTGTTTTAGAAGTTGAAGCCATCTTCATTCATGCAGTTTTACGATTACGTCAGGAAAAGTTTTTGCATGCACGCGAATGTACACTCTACAATGCATGCCGAATATGCCAAAATACGCCAAAATCGTACTAATTGGCAGGTACGGGAGGGGGTCGGGGATTTTGAATCTAGCTGCTGGCCATAAGTTGTGGCCTTGGGCAAGCCATTTTGTTCTACCTGCCTCTCTCCACCAAGGAGTACAGAAGATTTGGTTAACGGCATTAGCCGCAGAGCAACCTGCAACAGACCCTTATTCACATGGAAGTAAATTGCGATCTTATTCCCTGAATCAGTTTCATAAATTGCAAACTGTCCATTCTGATGGCATCAGACTATTTCATAAGTGCCACGGGTTCCAAGCCTTTCTTTTAAAATTCCTCTAAATCGTGCTGATATCACCAAATAACATCTTTGTGTGTTTGATCACAAATTTGAGAGTAGACCAGTACAAATTTGTCATTAGATTTTATTTCCTTGCTTTCATTTCTACTCCCAACACTTAAAACTGACGAGTTAATTTGGTTTTCAATTTCAATATGGCCGACCCATGAATAAAGTCTACGGTCGGTCATCCCATGCAGGGGGAAAGGAATTTTCTCCGTCGTTTCAGGCCAAGGGAAACCAAAGATTAACATTGGTCTGATGAACCACAGTGGCTTGTGTCCATTTCTCTCCCCCCACCCCCATGATCCGGTAACTTGCCCCTACCTGCGCCTGCTCGGGCGTAATGGTGGCTGCCTTCTGCTTCAGCTGCAGCTCCCTCGCCTCAACCTCCGGCTCAGCCTTGGTGCGCAGGTAGTTGGGCACCACCTCGTGGTTGAATGCCGGCACGCGACCCTCTGTCATTTTCTGTGTGTTGGTGCCCGGGGGGGGGGTGGGAGAACCAATAGTTAACGGAAACAAAGCACTCTGTTTGCTGTCAAGAGACTTTAAGATGAAAACAATTTGGTAGACGATGAGGAGACATTTGCTCGTACTCACAACCGTCACCAGAGGTACAGATGAATACTTATCTCATGGAATTTGTGAAGCAAATGCAAAGCATTGTGGGTTGCTTGCCATCACTGTCTGTGGACTTCATGGAAATTTCAGGGAAATGATGATCTAGGTCACTGGTTGAATGAGAGCCTGTCCAATGACGGCTCACAGAAATTTGACCTCTTGTCCTTGAGCAAGGCAAGTAATTGTTGTAAACTTCACCTTTATCATGGGATTGGATGGGCTACTGACCTCAAGTTCTTCATCTCTGTCCTGTGAGAGCTTTAAGGGCAGAAGGACGAGGTTCCTCAGGGCTGGCGTCTTGTCGCTCTTCAGAACTTTGCTCAACATGTTGATCTGACCTACAGTTGGACAATAAAATTGCAGCGGTAGTGTCCGATTACAGACCTGGTCATCACCGTGCAAATAATCAAGTCCTCGGTGAAGTGGCATTACAGAGGCATCCGACCGTTTCTCATGCAGTGCTGTAGTCCGCTATGGCTGAATTCGTAATCAGCAAATGACCATTTCCCAGTTTCTGGACAGCAGCTTGGCACCAATGTTGACTCAAGGAAATGGAGAGGGGGCTTTGGAGGAGCACTGCTTTTACATTGCGTTCTGCTTGCCCTGTAAACGTTCCCCTTTCTCCAACATTTTCACATGGTGCCATGCACATGATGCATGGTATAAGTTTTTTCTGGGGCATGTATATACTTCATGTGGAATTTTTTTCTGGATGAATTTGACCTTCGCCTATAGTGACCTGATCTTTGGCATTATTTTCTGGATGAATTTGACCTTCGCCTACAGGGCTCTGATCTCTGGCTTTTTTTTCCTGGTTGAATTCGACCTTCACCTATAGTGCCCTGATCCTTTGTCAGACAACCAAATGGTCTGCACTATTAAGACTGGCTGAAACAAACATTGAAAATGAAAAAGTTCACTGACATGCCCAGGTGCATTCTAAAGGTCTGCACTGAAAAAAAAAAAAGGCACTTCAAAACAATGCTGTCCCTGTATAGTGGTCCAACTTGGGGGCGAGCGAGCTCCCCAGTATTACCCATGCCTGGCACCGACAAGGCTACTTTTGTTGTAAAATTTTAAGTCCGTTTTTTTTCTTCACAGAATTGACAACAGATGACCATCTCACCTTTTATAAGATTATGAAAACCTACCTGACAAGAGGGCAAAGTTATTCAGAACGGCTGTCCTGAAAGAGAGATTATAAAAAAAATCATAGTTGAACCTCTATGTGTTTACGATCTACAGAAAGAAGATATTCACTGCAATGAAATGAAATTCACACACTCACTTCAGAGAATCCTGGCTTTTTGCAAACGCAAACTTTCAAATAGTTGTACAGTTACGGTGGGGGTCAATGCCTCCTTATCTCAGATGCCAGGTTTGGAACAATTCAGGTTTTCAATGCATAAGCCTCCTCTGTAAGGCACAGGAACTTCTTAGAAGTTGCTTTTTGAATGTTGCAAATGTAACTGGGAAAACATGTAAACACCAGCGTTACAATGAGAAAAATGTTGTTCTAAGGTATTTGTAAAGACAAAAAAGACAACAGGATCCACTTCTCTGTCTTTCTTATATTCATTAAATTTGTTTCTTCTAACTTACCAATAAAAATGTTAGAGTCTCGCTGAAAAATTTGGGTTGGTTGGGAAATCAGAAGCATTGTTTTGGCCTTTGCTAGTTGGATTCTCTGACTGTTATTTGGGTACTCAAATGATGTTTTTATTTGTTGCATCTAGGCCTATGCCTCTGTTACTAAAGAACAGAATGAAGGATAATCAGTGAAACAAAGTGAAAATGAGGCGCAGTGGAGATGTGGAGATGAGGCGAAGTGGGAATGGGGTGAAGTGGGCATGGGGCGAAGTGGGAATGGGGTGAAGTGGGCATGGGGTGAAGTGGGCATGGGGCGAAGTAAGAATGGGGTGAAGTAGGCATGGGGCAAAGTGGGAATGGGGTGAAGTGGGAATGGGGTGAAGTGGGCATGGGGCGAAGTGGTGAGGAGCGAAGTGGGAATGGAGTGAAGTGGGCATGGGGCGAAGTGGTGAGGGGCGAAGTGCCATGGGGTGAAGTGACCGACCCCCGATGACAATGGTGCTTCAGGAATTATATGTCCGTTAAAATCAGCTGCGGTACTTTGAATTTTTCACATTGAGGTTTGAGTAATACATTTCCATTAAATTCACATCAAATTCTGAAATATGTGCAGTCTAGTTATGTGTACCTCATGCTCATGTGCCTACCATTTCAGTGTTTCGTGTTCACGCTCCAGCTTTTCCAAGAATGCAATCAGAGATGTCTTTAAGTCCTGCACTCGGTTTGTGAGGGCTTCCAGAGAGACCTCCAGGGCCTTTTCTTGATTCTGCAGATAGGGGACAAAAGCATGCCAGCATGCAGCATGAGGTAGCTCCACAGATATGACGGATAGGGCCTACTTATCTCTCCAAGTCATTGATTGGTCTGTAGATGCATTGTATTTGTATATGATACATGTATTTACTATGAAGGCCTACTTTTATGAACATCACGTAGGATATTGGATAGGCCTATGGGTGCACTGCCCAATTCAAGGGAAATTCTTGGGCAGGCCGAGGCGCTCAAAAAGTACCCCTACAGTTTATTTGGAAAAGAGGAGATTGTGTGGCTCAAGAATTTGTGGGATTGTAAAAGAATGGCTCAGAATGAACTCCCTAGATTCAAGGGCTCCCATCCCAGGGC